ATCTTCTTAGGCAGCTTTCTGACATTAATGAGGTAGATTAGGCATGTTTTCATGTTTATGAGTTTTTGTGAATGTGTGTGTCTGCAGGTTTAAGTGTACAAGTAAATAAAGGAGTTTGTGCATGTAACCCTTTAAAGGAGTATGTGGTGACTGCAATGAAGAAAAGCAAGGGAAAAAAAGAAATTAACATTTACAACATACAACATAACATTTAATTTATATAGCACACTATTTTACATTATTTTACTTTCAATCTAAAAAATGTTTGAAATGAATATGGTCTAATACAAGCCCTCCTTTAAACTCACCACTGTTTGCTGCAGGTACTGCTACAGCACTCCTACTCTGGAGTTTATCACATCAGTGCACTCCTGAACAGCGGACCTATTTTTGAACAGTAATAATAATTTTTTGCACATCCTGCATACTAAGCCAACATATTGAGGTCATAGTTCTTTTGCACACATCTCTGTTTCACACTTTAATATCGTCTTCTTTTTGTCTTCATTTATTTATTTGTACTATTTGTATTTTATATGTTCTATTTCTATTGTATATATTAATTGACATCTCTGTGGGGACAGCAAAGAAAGAATTTCATTGCACAGAGAAATCCCTTTTTTTCTTTGGACACATGACAATAAACACTTTGAATCTTGAATCTCTTGAATCTACAGAGCTGTATGTTAAACTAAGATAAGATGAACAAACAACTTCTGTTGAGAGTTTTTTATAATCGAATTATTCAAATTACTCCGTGAATTGTTGCAGCCCCATGCATTAAAAGACGTGAGACAGGTGGAGGACGATCCCACTCAGTGGCAGACCGGCTGCCATCCCATCCCATTGACCCAGCACCCAAGGGAGGCCATAGCTTCAAGGAGTACAGCAAAGGGCCACATTTTAGCCTGACAGCTTGATCATCTGGATGGGGAACTCTCCAGATTGTAAGTTACCAGAATACTGGAGATGTCATAGGATCCAGTAAATATTCCAGTAAAAGCTGACGTACTGAAGCAACTTCTTCACTCAACAAAAATTGAAAAAGAATCTGACATTTAGAAAACCGTCACTCCCTTCTTGCTTCCTCTTCTGTAGTGCTAGCCAGATTTTGCTAGAAAATTTTAAATTGGATCTATTTAAATATTACAGTTTCCCCTCCCACAGCCAAATAAAGGAGATGTGGAAATTGCTTTAGTCTGTTACAGATAAAAGATAAGTTTATTGTGTTTTTTGACCAAACAGGTACTCTTGTGTGTTCTGTCTTGCAATGTAAGAGATGCAGCAGCAGATTAGAATCAAGTATAGAAAGACTTTATATATTTTCTACATCACCAAATTAATACATGGATATTCCCTGGACAATGTGACACAAAGTTTGCGCTCCATTCACGGGTTTTAGCAAAGTACACATAGCAACCTCCACATATAAAACATATTCCACCAGTAGAGAATCTGTAATGCACATAAAATAAATATAAGAGACTGTCATCAATCGCAGAACAGTAACCAGACTCCTCTATAGCTCTGTGGCTGAAGAGTTCACTATATACAACACTTACTCATCATCAAGCCAGTCTATATCTGGAAAGAAATGTTTCAATATTCACCTCTCAGACTCACCAACATGGCCACCCACTGATGGCTCCAACCTTGGCGAGCTGCTCCCCCCATCACCCTCTCTCCACATTCTCCAAGTAAGGACTGATTGGAATCTCAACAATCAGTCAACTTTTCAACGTACATCACGATTTATACACCTGAGTCACAAACCCAGATTCCCTGTGATGTCCCCATTTTTACTTTATAATGAATATTATTACTATAGAAGGAGGAAATGCGCACACACGCACACACATATTATAAACCCTCTGGTGACTGTTAACATATATGTGTAATGAGTATATGAACCATTCTGCTTGATTTAGCTGCTGTCAAGTTTTAGCAAACAGTAGCTGTAGGGCTCAAGTGTTGGACCGGGCATGATAGAGAGAAGCAGAGTGTAGTTTGAGATTCTTTCTTCCCTTAGAGAAATAACACAGGCTGGCGACCTTACTGCAGACAATAATAAAAGGCACTAATTTACATGAGGAACAGATCATCAGAGAGAGCAAAACGAAACAAGTCTACCACCCACGGTGAGCTGATAATCTGGAGTCCGTGCTGATCCTTTCTCAGAGCAGTTTATTGCACTGATGATTAGCAGGTGACCTGAAGAAGAGGACAGAAGGAGAAAGTGACAAATCATATTTATTTTAAACTGGTCTGGTGTACATTAAGATTCAAGAAGTTTATTGTCATGCCACAAAACACAAGTGGTTACACAGAGCAGAGCAATGAAATTCTTACTTTAAGAGTTCCCTTCACACAACTAAATAAACAACTAACTAAAATAAAGAATAAACTTAACTCTGAGCATAGAGAATAAAAAATCAAGTAAAACAAGTGCTTATGTAGCACTTGTTGCTTATGTAACTATGTGTGAGTGTAGTCAGAATTTAAAGTGCAAGTAGTTATGCAACATTGTCACAGTGGTGATACCTACAGAATATGCAATATTAAAATTGCATTGTATGTATTGTATTATATTGCATATAGATGTACAAAATTTGCGAATTTACAGGTCAAAGATAATCACTGTTCAACAATAAGTCAGTGATTTAGTAGCCTGATGGCCTGTAGATAGAAACAGTCTTTTAGTCTGGTTGTCCTTGCTTTCACACTCCTGTAGCATCTGCCAGATGGCAGGACTGTGAACAGTGTGTGCTGTGGGTGGGTGATGATGCTGTGTGCCCTTTTCCTGATCTGAGTGTTGTAAATGTGGTGTAGTGGTGGGACGGGTAATCCACAGATGAGTTTTGCCATTTTAATGGCACGCTGGAGAGCTTTCCTGTCCTGAGTGGTGCAGTTCCCATATCACACTATGATGGAGTTTGTCAGGATACTCTCTCCACTGGGCATCTGTAAAGGTTGCTGAGCAGTTTGGAGGTTAATCCAAATTTTCTCAGTTTCCTTTGGAAGAAGAGCCGTCTTTGAGCATTCGTGATGATCCGCTGTATGTTATGGGTCCACGTGAGATCCTCACTGATGTGGTTGCAGAGGAATTTGAAGGTCTTCACCCCCCACCACCTAAATCCCTTTGATGTAAAGTGGGGGGTGCTGGTCTCTCCTTATCCTCGGGTCAATAATTATCTCCTTAGTCTTCTCAAGGAGAGATTATTTTCCAGGCATCAGGACACCAGCTGAGCCAAGTAGTATCCTTCAAGCTTCAGTCTGTACTGCCTCATGGCTTCCCTGATGGATCTACGTAGGTCATATGTGGCCTTTTTGTAACCCTCTGCGTCACCAGGGACAAATGCAGTGGAGCGTGCATGCAGCATGGAACGCAGCTCACAGTTCAACCATGGTTTCTGATTTGGATACGTTTTATAAGAATTTGGTGGGGACAATATTATCAATGCATGTGCTGATGTAGCTGGTAACCACTGATGCTTATTCCTCTAAATCCACAGAACAGTCCTCTCTCAAGGCAGCAGTCTTAAGCAAATACCCCAGTTTGTAGCATCAAAGCAGTCCTGAATCAGTCTCTTCACTCTAAACTTTAATCATTTTACTTACTGACGGCGCTTGTTTGAGGAGCCTGCAGCCTGGATAGAGGGACACACAAAAGTGGTCCAAAATGGAGGCGGGGCACTGCCTTGTATGCGCCCCTTACTCTGCTGTAGACGTGGTCCAGGATGTTGTTATTCCTTGTCGGAAAGCTCACTTATTGATGGATCTTTGGAAGCACAGTCCTGACGTTGCAGTGATTCAAGTCCGCGGCAACAACATACACGGCATCTAGGTGAGCGGTCTCGTGTTTGCTGATGACGTCGTGCAGTAGTCCACGCGCTGTGGTCCGTTCGGACCGCGGCGGTATGTAGACAGCCAACAGAAACACAGCGTTGAACTGCCTTGGTAAATAAAATGGTCTGCACTCCGAAGTCCGCACAACTGTGTTTCTCCACCACCTGAGTGTCCACACACCATCTGTTGTTGACGTAAACGCATACACCGCCAAGGCTGTTTTTACCGGAGGCAGATGTGCGGTCTCCGTGACGCCCGGAATGTGTTTGTAGCTGAATGCCTGAGTGTGGCGTACTTGCCGTATTTCCGTAAAAATCAGAGCACAACATTAGGCAGCAGTGGTCGTGTGGCTCTAGCCTTCAGTTTAACATGTAGCTCGCCTCTCTTGTAGTGATGTGTCATAAGCAAGAGCGAACTCCCATCGAGTGAGAACAGGTGTTGTGCCAAAGAGTGTTCGCCTGCCAAAAACTGATTTCCGGTGGTTCCCAAAAACCGATTGCTCGTATTTAAACTGCTATAAATAACTTGTTGCTGTATAATATGTGTCAAATGTATCCCTCGTGAATGATATGAAGTCATTTTGAGGCACAAACAACATTCCGGTAAGAAGGCAGAAGGTGCAATCAATTTTTAGCAGTGACTTATCCTTCATTTATCCGGTTTTAAAAAAATCTCTTAAAAATGTGTTTTTTAAGAGTAATCTTAATCTTTTGACAAATCTGATCTGTTCAAAAGGACATCAGAAATTGCAACAAATATAACAATAGTTCTGCAAACATATTTTAAGTGGACAAAAAGGGCTGGATTGGTTATAATGTAAGTACAATAACACAGAGTTACAAAGATAGGCTACTTCAAAAACAGGTCATTTTTAAATTTGATATATAACAGCTTTGTAAACCATGTTCACCGAAGTCTGTAAACCAATGTATGTAAAGATATTACACATTTAAAAAAAAATACACGGAAACGTTGGAAATCCGTTTTTGGCAGGCGATCACTTTTTGGCACCGGTTCCCCACTTTTTTAAACATGTGGTTTGTTGTGTTGCCACAATATTTAACTCTTCCCACATACATTGCACACAGCTATGCTGAACATAAGCGCAGTTATGATCTGTGAACAAAGTCAAGATTGTGTGTTTTGTGCCTCAGGTTTCTCATTGACTCCCACGCTTACGGAGCTGTAGCACGCACGTGAATGAGAGAAGGCGATTGTAGTTCCTATTAACAGGGTATTGCTGACTGTACCGTTAATTGCTGAGTTTACTTTTCTTTGTATGTCATTTTTATGATAAAAAAAAATGTAATCAAATTAGATATTGATATTTTCATATGGGAATTGATCCTACAACATGAAACGCTGGTATTGGAAGTATTGATATTTCAGGATCACATCAATACCCCTCAGTGAGTGAGTGAGACGGTAGACGGTGAGCAGGAGAGTGCGAGTGCATCGCAAAAACACATAAATATGACTGTGTGGCGGACCACCAGGTGGCTCCACTCACACCCAAGTTGAAGGGAAGTGAGGGGTGGAGATTTTGGCGCTAACTATATGTGATGTTCTGAGAGTCAGTTAATAAAGTTGGAGTGACTGAGACACTGAGACCTCTCCTGTCGTTATTACATACCTCCACAACTGACACTCGTAAACAAAGCAGTGTCTTGCTTAGGGATGGGTACCGGTGTCCGGTGCCATGATGGCACCGGTTCTGACATAAACGGTAGTAACCAGACCGAAAAGCAGCGCACATTTCGGTGCTTTATTTCGGTGCTTTTTTT